ATCACCATATAAAAAATGATTTGAGAAACGGTGCCAGTATTTTTATGACAAAAGAAACATTCAAAATAACATAAGACATTCCTGTAAACACGGGACGGATATTATTCAGATCGTGTTTGATTGTGTTGAATGTTCATCCTGAGGTATACAATGTCAAACTTATCCATTATTGGTATAATTTCCAAGTAGAATGGATTCCAGCTTTTGAAAAGATTTTTTTCTCAAATATTCAAACCAACTATACTAAGTTACATATAAATCCAAACACCCAGTTTAAATGGTTTTATTTTAATAAAAGTTGGTGAATGTATTTATCTTACTGTAAATAACAAGTGAAAAAATTTTCAGCCTTATCAGTTGGACATTCCGGTTTTTATACTGCTTTTTTTAATTCACTAACGCTCTAAAAATGAATATTTCAGCTGCAGTAAAGAATCAACGTTGGCGGATTTTGATTCTTGGCATCCTTTACGATCGGTTACGATGCCTAGAGTACGGAGACCTGTACGATTTCGTCAACTTAGTGAGTTTGATAGGGGCCGTATAGTGGGACTTCGGGAAGCTGGACTTTCTTTTCGGGCAATTGCAGTTAGAGTGCAAAGAAGTGTAGACACTGTGGTTAGGTGTTGTCAGGCATCTCTTCGAGAAGGCCGTACGCAAAGAGCAAGGGGCACTGGACGCGGCCGTAGAACAACAGACCGTGAAGATCGCCGCCTAAGATTATTGGCCTTAAGGGACCGTTTCTCCACTACCAGGTCCATTGCAAATGCATGGTTTGCAGAACACGGAAGACCTATTGGCATGCGAAGTGTTTACGCCGACGAATGAGAAGTTTTGGCTTGTTTTCATACCGGCCACACTGGGTCCTTCCTTTAACTCGAGAACACCGACGTAATCGCCTTGAGTGGTGCAGACAACGGTCACTCTGGGATTAGGAATGGAACAGTATTGTCTTTAGTGACGAGTCTCGATTTTGTTTAGGCATGCACGATGGTCATGCCAGGGTTAGAAGGCGACGTGGTGAAAGGAGGAATCCACAGTTTTTTGTTGAAAGACATGTTCATCACACTGTTGGAGTTATGGTTTGGGGTGCTATAGCTTATGGTTCCAGGTCACCTTTAATCTTCATCAGAGGTAACATGAACGCGCAGCGTTATATCCACGAAGTTCTAGAACCCCATCTTTTAACCTACCATGACACCCTGGCAGATCCAACTTTCCAACAAGATAATGCCCGACCACATGTTGCAAGAGTCACAATAGACTTCTTTCAACATAATGATGTCACATTGTTACCATGGCCACCAAGATCTACCGACTTATCCCCAATTGAGCACGTGTGGGATATGATGGGTAGGAGATTGCAACGTCCTCCTCAGACTCTAGAAGCACTTCGAGAGGAGTTGGTGGTTGCCTGGAATGAGATACCACAGGAGGACATTGACCACCTGATCAGAAGCATGCCTAGGCGCGTTGCAGAATGCGTAGCACATCAGGGTGCATCCACACATTAGGGTTTTAAAGCAGTGCAATCATTTTGAAATTTTTATCATTTACTTATTATGCTTCATTAAGTACTTATACAAGATTTTATTAAAACAAAACCATTTAAACTGGGTGTTCGGATTTATATGTCACTTAGTATATTATCCAAAGGCAATGTTCTGACAAAAATTTCCGAATGGAGGCAACTATTGTGATTTGCAATATTTGTTTTATACTAAGCAGCTGCGTAGGTGGAAACCTAAATACAAGGACACGCCGGCTGCTATGAGGGCTTAAAGGAACTGTCCGAGGAGCAAAGCCCATTGACATAGCGGTAGAAGAAAGCGAGATCATCGACGACCCGTCGGTGCGAAAGGGTTCCGAGGCTGTCCTATAGAGAAGAGTAATCGACAGCCCTTCTCTGAACAGTCCCGAGTATGGGTAGTGCAGTCGGGGCGACAGCACACCAAACTTGTGAGCAGTACTCGAAGCTATGTCTTACCTGGGAAGTTATGAAGATAAACGTAAGTCTTATCACTAAACAAATAGCAAAGCTTTGTCCAAGCAACTGCCACTGTTGATGAGATGTATTCCTGCCAGATCAAGTCCTCGGTGATCTGGACTCAGACTAGCTGAAATGACCCGCTTTCCGGTAGAACTCGGCCATCCGTCGGAACCGGATGAGCGCTAGGCCACTTCTTGTCAGTTAACGTTTAGTACTGTGACTTAGAATGTCTAAACTGTACCAGATTGTTGCATCCCTAAGGAAGTTGATCAAGATAAAATTTTCTGGTTCAAGTCTAGCCTTTGGGGTAATCTATCGTCCCTCAAACACAAATCTCACGAGAGCTGTAGACTATTTTGAAAATGCTCTTGCAACACTTATACCAAATTTTGATAACATAATCGTCGTTGGTGATATGAATGTTGATCTTTTGGCTGATAATAACAGCTTGAAAGACTGTTTTGTTGCTTATGGTTTTCACTAAGTTATCAATGAAGCTTGTGGAATCTCAGGAGGAATTCTAATAGACGATTAGATCCGATATTTATAAGTGATTCTACTATTTGTTTAAATTCTGGAACCACGAACATGTGTTTATTCACGGATCACCGTTTAGTTTTCTGTGAGGCAACCTTTACCACCAAAAGTCCTAAACAAAAATGTATCATATACATAGACTTCAAAATCTGTGACTGTGTTATTTTGTGCAGTTGGTGGTATGACGTGCTCGGTATAAAATCAGGATCTCTTGACGTTGATGGCATATCTTCTTCCTGACGAATCACTCGATCGCCATGATCTGATTCGTTTTCTGATTCGCAAGTGTAGGATTCTGGGGGTTTTGGAATAGGATCTTCGTCACTGTGAGGCACAGGTCTCATCGCAGATGGTATGTTTGGGTAGTTAATAACCGATTTTTTTTTTCTTGGACATACCTGTGGCTTGTCCAACACAAGGTACCATGCAAAAGTAACAATCATTAATATGATTTGTAGGCTCTCTCCAAACCATTGGGACAGCAAAGCGCATAGACTGTTTTTTGCCATTTAACCAGCTCCTCAGACTTGAAGCACATGTATTACAGCAGATGTGGGGTGCCCACTGTTTGTCTTGATCACCTAAATTACAACCGAAATAAAGCTGATATGCCTTTGTTATTAGTGGAGTAATAGACCGTCTCTGAGACGCAAAAGTCACATCACCACACACGTAACAAAACTGATCTGGATTGTTTACACACTTTCGAGACATCTTGCATGAACGCTGTCAGCCAACTGAGGAAAAAATGGCTAATATAAAACAATATAATGTACACGTATGTATAACGTAACACAATCATGCCGATTACATAATCTTTCCTTGCCGAATATAAAAATGTAGCACGTGCATTCTTGTGAATGACAGTATATTAACACTGTCACAGCAGGAACACATATAATTACCGTATCTCTAAAACTTGAACTAATATTGAAAAAATAAGTTTCATTCCGGTTTTAGCACATTAAAAATAGTAATATTTTGTTGATTTTATTTAGGATATTTTTTGGCTGTTGATCAGTGTTTTTAATGAATGTGAAGTAAATGTTCTGTTTGTTACTGTTATGTTTTGTCTATGTATGTGTTAAAATTTTTTTTAATATGCTTAAATAAATTTCACTAATTCGGTTTAACCTCATGCTAAGTTCAATTTTTTTTTATTGGTGATGCTGTAATTAAATATGTACTTTTTTGAATATTGTATACATGGAGGCCTGGTTGCGGTGGAAGAATAGCATGTGCTGATTGTCCGCCAGGTGAAAATAAAGGCTTTTTATTATTATTATTTGTTATTTTTATAACACAATCCAGATTTTTCATTAACTAAACATCCAGTGTCCGTGCCAAAATCACGTAACTTTTTTTTTACTATTTTGATCACTTATCAGTAATTTGAATTTCTCTTTATTAACAGTAGAGTGCCCATTCCTAGACCAAACCCTTTTTAATGATTTTCTTTTGGCAAATTTCATAGCTTATTATTGATTGTGTAATTTCACACTTATTATATCTTTCTTTCTCAGCGATTCAGTATTATTTTGAAATCTTGGAAATTTCCTCATAAAATTTTGTTGGCAACCAGCGGCCACCTTGTGACTTTACACGTACTAGCCGTATAGGGATATTTGGTTCGAACAAGATACCTTCTTCAAGGCCATTCATTTAAGCTTCTTTTAATGTTTACTTTCTTATCAAGATCCCTTCTGTTAAAATTTGATTTACTGTCAAGATACGTTCTTTACCGGCTTTCTTCCGTTCATTTTGATTTTCTGTCGAACGTGCCTTCTTCAGCCTAATACTTGATTGACCATTCCAGATAAGACCACTATCCAGATAGTTTAGGCGTTAAGATATTTGTAAATTGTTGAATGTTGATTTGTTAAAGTATTGTGATTTTCTTAATATCTTGTTTTATTTGTCTCTGTGTGTACAATTAATTAGGTTTCGTCATTAGTATTAGATTTTTTCTTTGTGTCAGCTAAAACCAGTTCAGACTAACATCTCAGAAATTTGTGGCTTAATCCATCTTGAGTCACTGACGCTCTTAACCTGCACGCCACTTGTCACCTGTTTTGCATTGACTGATCCTTGGATTTCATTTATAGTGATTTATTAATTCATTATTTGATTAAAAACAAAATGAAAGCGGAATCACACCACTATGTCCTCTTATTCGTGAAAAAAGGCGTGGCACCAGCTTTGAACGAGGCCTTCGTCTGATCCTAATTTCTTCTATTTATCAGTAGACCTAAAACTTGTAAGTATGCTCGAAATTACCGCACACCTAGTCGGTGTTGCATTTTCTACGTCATTTTATATGCGTCCCCAGCTTTGATAGGAAGCAGCATCAGTGACAAAAAAGTCCTGGTAGGCTCGTACCAACCCATCCACCACCATTATTTCCATTAACCCAATTCGGTCCGATCACTTCTGACGCTAATTGATTCTGGTATAATTACAGACACGAAATCACCTCTCTCAGAGTTAACTGCTTTAAACTGCAATACAAGCTATTATGAGGAGTCGAACAATACGAGGCCTGTTCGAGTTCTGGCGACGAATTGAAGCTGAAGCTGACTCGGTTGCAGCGAGGCTTTGCAGTCGCATTGTAGGCTGCTATATTCATATTTAATTCTGCTTAATGGTTGCTGTGTTCGGCTTAATAGTATGGCCGCGGAAATTGAACCCACAGGAGCTTAATGCCGAAAAGAGGAGAAACTTTGTCGTTTGATATGAAGTCCTACCTTTTTGGAAAGATGGTGATAAGTAGATGCGGGAATTTGGTTAGATCCAATGATTGGATTATTTTATTCAGGGTGGCGCATCGAAAACGAAACAGATGCATTTACTGGCAGCTCAGGTTTTTTTCAATCAGTTCTATCTTTCTTGTGAAACCACCTCATTCAGTGTTAGTTTATTGTCGTCACACCAGTTCTCAATCAAGTCAAGCTGGCTCTGAATTCCCAAGCGATGAGTGATGTTATATTCTTAATCATCAGCAAAACCAAGAGTTTCTACTGTTAAAGCAACCATTGAATCATTTATAAAAATCAGAAAAAGTAACGGTCCCAAGTTTGATCCCTGCGGAACTCCAGATATAGCTCGATAGGCTCCCGACTTAAACCCTTACAGGACAAATTGCTTCCTATCTGTTAAGAATAATATCATACACTTCACAGCTTCATCAGAAAGTCAAAAATCTGTTAATTTGTCAACCAAACCGCTATGACCAACTTTATCAAAAGCGTCAGCGAAATCCGTATATACTCGTATTACATCTATATGGCTACTATCATCAAGAGCCGTCTGATATGTGTTGAGTAACTATTAGTTAATTAGTGATATCAAATCTGTTGGCAATAAATCTAAGCTGATAAAGCGGGAGCTGATTCTCAATTTCTGAATGAATGCGACTGTGCAATATTATCTCAAAGATCTTTGCAAACATAGAAACAATTGACACAGGCCTATAATTAGTAATATTATTTTTGTCACCACGCTCATACACAGGACATACTTTCGCTATTTTCCAGATATTTGGAAAAGTATTCGTTTTTAGGTAAATGTTGTATAAAAAGGAGTAGCTATCGCTGAGACAGTAACCTTGATTAAAGATGATGGTATATTGTTCTGACCAGTTGTCATTTTTTTCTTCAGTTTCTCAATAGCCGTCAGAACATTAGATTAGATTCCGTCAGGAGTTCCGCAAGGCTCAATTTTGGGACCTGTGCTGTCTTTGATTTACACGTGTGACCTGCATGAAGCAGTTGACAATTCAGGGATACAAACATTTGCTGACGATACTCAAATAATATTCCATTTCGACGCCTCAGATACGCAAAATTCATCAGACATTTTACAGCTTGATTTAGATAAGGTACATCAGTTTTCTATGGAACATAATCTTGCTATTAATCGAGATAAGACACAAGTGTTATTGTTTTGTTCTGATCAGAAGAGGAAAACTGTCGAAGATTCTTTCTATCTGACTATTGATGGCATAACATTACAGCATACTCAAACAGATAAGGTACTAGAAGTGGAAATTGACACAAAATTAAGATTCCGCAGCCAAATAGCTAATTTAAAAAAACTTACCTATGTTCTAGGGCTCTTTATTCCAGTCGCTACTTGCTTAAATTTAAGCTGAGAAGAAAACTGTGCGAATCTTTGGTGATGTCAATGCTCAGTTACTGTGATGTCGTTTATTATCCATGTTTGGATCAATTGACCAAAAATCGTCTTCAAATCATCCAAAATAACTGTGTTCGCTTTATTTATGGGTTGCGTAAATACGATCACGTAAGTGATAAATATAGGGAATTGAACTGGCTTAGGTTAGGAAGTTTGGTTAAACATAAATTCTTAGTTTTAGTTCATAAAATAATATTTTCATCAAAGCCTGAATATCTAAGAGCTAAGTTAAAATTTAATTACGATGTGCATGACAGGGCCGTTAGGAATCGTTATAGTATCAGAACCACCGCACACACTTCTGCATTATTCCAACGAGGATTTACATATAATGCAGCACTATTTTATAATCAGCTAGACAACAGTATTAAATTGATGTCTTTGGAAAGTTTTCGTAAACATACTAAAAGCATGTTGCTCGCTATTGATTAAATAAGCATTTCTGCTACAGATATAGATTGTGTCTATTTGTATTTTATACTTAGGTATATATGTGTCCTTTTTTTCATTGTTCTTATATTTTTTCCATGTTTTGAACATCAGATGTAACCGACATAAACAGTTAAGTGTAAGAGTAGCTTTGGCTAAACTTCGCTGTTCATGTCCCTCCGGGTTATCCAATAAAGACGTTATTATTATTATTATTATTTATGGATAGAAGTAAAAAGTCAGCAATCTGCCATATGGGCAATCAACATGTTTTTCTAGCTAATCTAAATTCCCCCTGTGAGTGATCTCTGTCTAATACTAAATAAATTGTTTATGTTATCGCCTGAGATAAACCTGGTGCTATCACCAATGCAGAAGACAAGAGGCACTTTAACCTATTCACTATCTCTTATTAGGGTATGTTTCGACTCTTTCGCTGTGTCTAACACTGATCTTTTGGATCACTGCTGTGATAATAGGGTATGTCACAGAAACAGCTTCATTGGAGAACTGGTACGGTGTGTGATCATTCTCTGGGCCTTGTCTGCGTATTGTCCGATTACAGTTTAGATTTCCTACTAATAAGTAAAAACATCTCTTTGACTTTGTTGCCCATTTGTTTCCTTCCTGAGAAAACGTGTAAGCTTTCTATCTAATGGATTCCAGAATATGTACTTCACATGATTTGATTGTGGAATTTGTAGATTCTTGGTAGTTACTGATGGACAGGTTTTACTACACAAGGTTAATGACACATAATTATATGGACTTTAACATTTATGCGCAATGTCTTCAGTCAGTCTTCAATTTCGAGTAAGTTTTTCTGGATTCTCATGGAAGGCCAAGATAGTCATATCATATGCAAATGTTGTTAGGCGTACATCAGTTGTAGCTGGTATATCTATAGTATAAGGCAGAGGGTGGGTCCTAAAGCACCTCCTTGTAAGACTCCTGCACCGATAAGCTTAATGGACTTGGATTCGGTACCATGTTTTACCTATACTCTAACTATCTAAAACTGTAATGACTCATCGATGTTCACGTGAACATCACTTAACTACCAGTAGTCGGCTGTTCATAGGCGGGGTATGAATGTTTAACATGGGTGAACTAGATTTGTCACATGCTTAATAAAGAGTGGTTTGAAACATATTGTCATAAGTCAAAAATTTGGGAATTACCTTTATTCATCGTCGCTTCCACTTACATCTGACAGTAATAAACTGTCGCTATCGCTTTCCTCGTTGAAATTGACTATAACTGGCTCTATGATGGTGTCGATGTGGTGGTCAAGCTGCCACATTTTTGTTTCTTCCTTCACAACATGACGGATAGCATTCTGCCAAGCTTCGGGCGTTACTAGCTGTATGGAAGTCACATGTAAAACCTTAACGTCTGGTAATTTGAAGGTTGTGTTATGGCGCGCAATATAACCCTTCACTTAAGCCCAGATGAGCTCTATTGGGTTCAGTTCACAGTGGTAGGGCGGTAACCGCAGCACAGTGACACCACATTGACGGGCCATCTCATCAGTCACGTAACTAATGTTCGCAGGTTTGTGCTGTTTAATTTTTCCATACAATTCCGCTTTCACACATGAATCGTCAAACGGGATTCCTTTTTCGCGCAACCATTGCTGCATGTCACTTTTTCGAGATCCCATAGTCGGTACACGTTCGGCTCGACGACTATGGTAGGAAGCATTATCCATGGCGATCACAGAGTTGGGCTCAACTCGCTGAAGCACCCCTTGAAACCAGCTCTCGAAGCAGCTGGCATTCATTTCGTCATGGTAATCACCTCCTTTCTTAGAGACGAAAATCAAGTCACACTCTTCTAAAAAGCCACTATCGCTACCAATATGAGTTACGATCAATCTTTGACATTTCCCTGACGGTCCACGAAGACCTGTTGACAAACCTTCAATGCTTGCTTGTCGGTTACTCACTACGTTTTTGTCTATCCAGGTTTTTTTAACTGTGTGACCTGCATTTACCCATGTCTCGTCCAAATAATAGATTTTTCTGCTTTGTCGCCTATATTCAATCATTTCGCGTAGGTATTTTCGACGCCAGGCGACTATTTCAGGTCTCTCTATCAATACTGACTTCCGATTACGCGTTTCGTAACGAAAATTAATTTCGTGCAGGGATTTCCTCATTACCTCGACGCTCATTTGGGGTATAATTTCATTTTCCTTGATCGCTGCATGTACAGCCTTGAGGGTTGGTATCTCATTCCTAAAGAAGAATGAATGTACGGTTCGCCTTAACGCCATTTTGCACGATTTCTTTCGCGTCCCTCTTCAGTGCTTTACGAAGCCGTCTACTTGTTCCCTGGCTTTCAGTACTTCCACTCGTGCCATTTGTACTCTCCATGGTTAGGTATAACCAAAACAGTAACCACAGAAACCACAAAAATAACAATCACACAACAATTCTTATAAAAACACACAATACGCGATCGCTCAACGAAACACGTTCCAATGCGTTGCCGACGCCTATGAGTCTGCCGGTCGAGGCGCGACTTTGATTCCATTGGTTCTACCGGCGGAGAACAATCAGCCATTATTTCCATCTCTGTCTGTGCTGTTGACCACCGCAAAGCCACAGAAACGACATATGTCGTACGCTATTCGGCTGTACTGGAAGGAATCCGGGATCGAGCTCTGATCACGTGTTGATCACGCGTATGAGTCATTACAGTTTTAAATAGTTGTAGTATAGAAGAACCTGTTTGTTAGGTGCGACTTCAGAAGCAAGTAGTAAAAATCGGGGAGAATTTGTTTTGATTTGAAGCACAGGCCTTATTGCCAAACTTTGTCAAATGCTTGAGATACATCGGAAAATACAGCTGAGTAGCGTCCTTTGCTTTCAGAATCCACTTTAATTTTATCCACGATTCTGTGCACTTGCTTAATAGTACCATGTTTCCGGTCCGGTATTAATTTAATTTTGTCAATCATTTCCAGCAATCTTTATATGTACTTTTTACTCGAAAAGT